CAATGGACCGGCCTTCATCTCAAAAGTAAGGAAATAGCTGTGGCACTGGGGACGGATTGGAAATTGCACTGTGCTTATAGACCCCAGAGTTCAGGGCAGGTAGAAAGAATGAATCGTACTCTAAAAGAGACCTTAGCTAAATTGGCCTTGGAGATTGGCCCAGACTGGATATCGCTCCTTCCTTTTGCCTTGTTTAGAATAAGAAATTCACCCTATTGGCTTGGCTTTACTCCTTTTGAAATAATGTATGGACACCCTCCACCCATTATCCCTAGCCTTCAGACTGAATTGCTTGCTGATTGGATGATACTGAATTTCTGTGTAAGCTTGACTATTTACATCTGGCGCATAAGAGTATGTGGCCCCAGCTTAGAGCATTATATGATTCTGCTTCTATTCCTACCCTCCATTTGTTTAAACCAGGGGACTGGGTGTTTGTTCAAAGGCACAACTTGAGATGTCTGGAACCACGGTGGAAGGGACCTTACATGGTGCTACTGGCTACACCTACTGCCCTTAAGGTGGATGGCATTGCTGCTTGGATCCACTGTTCCCATGCCAGACTGGCTGACCCCTTTGCCCTGGACGACCATGGGGAAACATGGGAAGTCTCCAAGCATCCTACCGAACCACTCTGCATATGCCTCAAGAAAAGAAAAATGCACTGATTGTTATTGGTATACCCGTTCAAGATCAAGAGCTGTTGGAGTTTAGTTTTGGGCCAGAGCCACAAGATTGTGGCTCAGGACCATAAGTCAAGGGGGGGGGGGGGGGGAATGAAAGAATAGAGTATTTGGGGCAGTGACCATTTCTTGCTTGTTTCAGAGCAGAGCAACACATGCTAAACACAGCTAAACCACCTGGTAGTGTGCCCTTATAAGACCTGCAAATCCTTAGCTCGGGGCTCTCCTCCTGGGCTCCACTGTGTTGGAGTGTAGGATGAGGCCCGAGCTGCAGCCGGTTTAAATAAAACAGCTGTAGAGTCTGACTCTCGGTGGTCTTCTTGGTGGGGGTCCTGTGACCTTGGCATAACATGATCATCAATCCAGATTTATTTGCCTTTTGAAATCTACAAATTGCTATAAACAATTTGGTGTTCAGTGGATTTAACCATAGCATACAGGGAATAACACTTACCCTTGTTGTAACTTTTTCCTGGGGACTCAAAAGTCAACCATACATCACCCTAATACACCTTTTCTTTGTGGTTAACACAAAAATAAAAACTTGTTTCCTAACTCAAAAAGATACCAACCAATCCCAGGTACTTCAGAGACAGAGGTAGGAGGATAGAGAATTTCAGGCAAAGTTAATAGGATTCTATGAAAAGAAACAAGGATGACAACAAAAACAACAACAAAAACCAAATGAAAGTCAAAATACAAAAGGGCGGGACATGGTTCAAGGGGGAGAGTGCTTTCTTAGTAAGCATGAACCCTAGGTTCAGTCCCCAGTACTGCTAGGGAGTTGGGAGAAGGAGGAGTGAGCTGGTGGACATCAAAGAAGGCTACTCTATCCAAAATTTTTTCCAGTTTTATAGGCATCATTTACTATGTTAAGCCTTTTTCTTTACCACTGGCAGAATTAATTAGTACCTTTTGTTCTGATTCTGTTTTTATCCCTTCTTTTCTTTCTTCTTCTTTACTTCCTTTCCATCTACTCTCTTTTCTTTCCATCTTTCTTCCTTTCCACCTTTCCTTCTTTCCACCTTCCTTTCTTCCTTCTTTCTCACTTTCCTATTTTATTTTATTTTGACAAAATACCCCCATATTTCCTAGGTTGGCTTTGAATTTAGGATTCTCCTGCCTCAGCCTTCCTGAGTAGCTGAGATTACAGGTATATACCATCGTACTAGGTATTCTTCTGTTATCATTTGCACTGCAGTTAGAATATTTTCTAATGCCATAATGACACAAGAACTTCCATACATCCAGCTACATTCCGGAGGAAGAAACTCTTTTTTTGGGGGGGGGGTCCGGTTGTGGGGCCTGAGCTCTGGGCCTGGGTGCTGTTCCTCAGCTCTTCAGCTCAAGGCTAGTGCTCTACCACTTGAGCCACAGCACCACTTCCGGCTTTTTTCTTTTTGCTTATGTGGTGCTGTGGAATCGAACCCAGGGTCTCAGGCATGCAAAGCAAGTGCTCTACCACTGAGCCACCTTCCCAGCCCCATGGAGGAAGAAACTCTTAAGACTGGATTTTAATCTAATGAGATACCTAACCCACACCTAGTAGCGAATGGAGCTTCCAATACAAGAAGCATTTAATCTGGATGAAGACTGTTAGAAATCAGGACTCAAAATATTACTAATACAAAAACCTGAGATTTTGCATTACCCAGTTCCTATAAAGATGTACAAGTTACTCTTAGGATTTTTAAAGGTGGGGGGTGGATATATGTAAAAACATGGCTCAGTATTAAATATCAAACACAGACCATTGACGAGGGATACTGTCTTTCTGAAAAAAAAAATAAACCCCTGTCTAATGACTTACTTCACCAAATTGTAATGTTTGGTTACATACTTTGGTTGAAGGGCTAATGGATTAGAGTTTTTACTAAATTTGTTGAAAAGAACAGAATTTTAATTTCACTTAGCAGATTGAGCTTTTAAAAAATACCATCTGGTTAGTTCAAGTCAATTATTCTTCTGAGTCATAAATATACAAGTACCATATTATCTATACTTTAAAAAATGAAGCTTTTTCAGGGTGGTGATGGCTCAATCTGTAATCTTATCAACTCAGGAGTCTAAGGATTGCCATTCAAAACCAACCTGGACAGGAAAGTCTGTGAAACTTCACTTAACTAACAACAATCCAAAAGTGGAGCTGTGGATTAAGTGGTAGAGTGCCAGCCTTGAGTGAAAAAGCTAAGGGATAATGCCCATGCCCTGAGTTCTAACCTTATTACTCTTTCTTTGCTCTCTCTCTGTCTCTCTCTCTTTGCTTTCTCTCTCTCTCTCTCTCACACACACACACACAACCACCAACACACACTATACACACATATCACACACACCATACACACACATATCACACACATAAAGAAGTCGTAGGACTTAGAAAAATTATGAATGTGTGAAGGTGAATTGTCCTACTGTGTAAAACTACTCCACAGTACCAAATAGTATTAACTCAGGCCATGAAGACTCAGTTCATAGAGTCTGTTCTGCAAGTTGTGTTTCTAATTATACTGGATTTGACATTTAAAAATCCACTCATTCTTTCTCCTGGAGTCCATCCTTGTGACTAGTGGGTACCAGCACTGAGGCATTTGGTTGTAATAATCACTTTGCACATCCAGAGAGGCCCTGAGATTCAGCATTTCTCTCTATCACATAACCACCTGCAGTTTTCTAGATGGAGACTTCTTTACTAGATTATTGTTGGGTTTCCCTAATTAGAAAATAAGTGCCATGAACACTAGGACCTTCCTGACTTGCTCACCCTGGACCCAATTGCTAGAATAAAAACTTAGTAAATATGTAACAGGTAAACTTTGAGTCATGGTTATGGAGCCATTTTTCTTTTTAAAAAGTTAAATTTACAGACAATATCATACTTTCAGTCTTATTGAATCAACTGCACTTAGACCAATCCAAAAGGAGATAGATTCCAGAAATCAGAGTTTATTAAGAAAAACAAAACACCTAAGCCAACTCGTTTATAATAAAAGTACTCCTGGTGAATAATTTCCTCAGTACTTTTCTTTTTTTTATTTTTCTTTTTATTTTTTTATTGTGAAAAACTGTACAGATGGGTTACAATTACATGGGCAAGATAATGAGTACATTTCTTATCAAGCATTGTAGCCTCCTCCTTTGTTTCCCCTTCCCATCCCTTCCAAGCCTCCCCCCAATTCTCCCCCCACCCCCCCACCAAAGTTGTAAAGTTCATTTTCGACATGACAACTTGTACTTCTCATTGTTTTAATGGGTCCACCTGTATCCTTATTTAAACGACTTGTTTTTCCCCTTCCCCTCCACAAATTATACCGACAACAAATATAGTGAAAGCAGGGGTTATACTGTGGGGGAGGGACATACAAAGCAACAAAGAAATAATCTTATAAATGTGTTACAAACAAATGCATGAAAAAAAACATTTAAATACATATCTTAGGGTTCATTTTCCTAACATCACCTTATCTGACCTTTTCTGCTTTCCTCAGTACTTTTCAATATCTCCTTTAGCCTGATTCTAGCAGCACTTTACTTCACATCCTCAATACCTCCCCATTAAATTCAAGTTATATACATATATATATATATATATTTATACTCTATCTCCTGGTTGTTGAAATGTTATGTATTATTGTATATCACCAGTTATTAAGGAAGCCCATGAGTTTAAATAGTATTCAAGTCTCAATATGCTCTTCTATGCTTATTTATAAGATGCTTTAAAATGTCAAGCTGAATACTCATTTAGCATTGGAAGGCTTTTATTTAAATATTAACAGTGTGGTTGCTCATGAAAATATGTTGCTTGCTAAGACCTTTACTATTTAAAGAATGGTAATTTTTCTTCTCCTTTTTCTTGAGAAGTCAGACTTAATGAAAATCAGTATTAGCAGAATCTATGAATTACTAATCAGTCGGTACCCCAGAATGTATGAGGCTTAAGTTTGGAAATTAGTACTTTCCAAACTTGGCTATTAAAAAATGACTGAATTAGAAACCAATGAGAATCTTCTCAAAAGACTTTTCCTCAAGTAATATAGGTATAGTATTTTAAAATTTGTTTTGCTTCCTCTTTCTTTTTCAGTGGAATAAGTAAATATCTGTATAAGTACCATATTAATTAAAAAATTCCCCCCAAATTTTAGTTGGAGCTATTGGTTTTTTTTTTTTTGTTCGGTTGTGGGGCCTGAATTCTGGGCCTGGGCACTGTCCCTCAGCTCTTCAGCTCAAGGCTAGCACTCTACCACTTGAACCACAGCGCCACGTCCAGCTTTTTTTGCTTATGTGGTGCTGAGGAATTGAACCCAGGGCCTCATGCATGCAAGGCAAGTGCTCTACCACTGAGCCACCTTCCCAGCTCTAGTTGGAGCTATTTAATATATGTTTGAGAATTTTTAAAGGGGGATAAAAAATAGTTCCCATTTTTCTGAATGATAACCTTTGCCTAACTTTTCACTTTTTAGAATGGATTAAAGTTTAGGGTATTGAATAAATCAAAGTCCATCTGATTTGGTTCCAACCATAACCAGTAATTACTTTAACAATAATTAAAAGATTGACAGAATTCACATGGTAATGGCCTGTGGTTGATGGGGAACACACCTGGGACTCCTCTTATAGTCTTCTTTCATCCTCTTCAGAGCTGGGCATTGTCTGGCTTCATTATCAACAACTATTTTTTTTCAAAATCAGAAATGAGAATATTTTCTTCTAAATGTACAGTACTAAAGTTGATTGTAGGGTAGTAAGGGTGTCCCAACCCTGTAAGTCTCCGGAAAGAGCCACCATTCCGCTTGTATATGCAGAAGGCAAGTATGAGACTGGCCAGAAGTATGATCAAGGTCAGTGCAACCGCAAGGGGAACAGTGCCATGACTGGGTCCTGAAAGCAGAGGAGCAAAAGGAAAGCCTCAGTGACAGGAAGTAAGGCAGACACGACTGCACACTTGCTTTCTACTTCATTATTTCTAAGAAAACTCAAAATGCTCCCTACTGTTCCAATCTTACCTTTTCCTGGTTGCTCCTTTGCAATGTGAATATCTAAAATGAAATAGAAAAATCGAAATGAAAGATTTATTTTAATTCAATAAAATTAACTCATCACAGCAGGATTAGGAAACCATGGCCCATGAATCAAATCTAGTTGTCAGTTTTTATAAGTAATGTTTTAATGGAACTCAGCCATGGTCAGGCATGTATCTCTTTGTCTATATCTATTATAATGAAGCAATGCCAGTATAAGAAGAACCATGTGACCTTCAAAGGCTAAAAACATTCACTATCTGCCCCTTTATAAGAAAAATTTGGTAATCCTTGATTTATTGATTTGTATTATCATTTTTAGTAGTGCTCACAAATATATATACTGAATAGCAGAATAAGAATGGAGATTGCTAGTTTATATTCTAGTTCTATTTGCCTTTTTTTTTAGTTTAATAACCAAGATGACACAAGAAACTCATGAGAGCTTTTATATTGGCTTATGGTTTTTTTCTTCATATCAGAGGAAGAAAGAACTGTTATGTTCTTTGACTTGTTTGACACATAACTTCTTGCCAGAATCTATCTAAATACTTTCCCAATACTTGTATTTGAGAACCTTTAAATGACTATTTTAGGAATCATGTAACCCTGGTGAATACGATTCACCTCGACGATTCAAGGCTACATAAGGCACATGGTAAAAACAACAATCCAAACCAACCAAACAAATCTTTAAATGCTTCAGTGGTGGTAGGTCAATATTAGAGTAGAAACAAAATGAAGACTTCTTCTCTGACTTTACCCACCTGCCTCCATTTTGCATATAAATCCCTTTTTATCTTGACATGAGGATAACTTCCACACTCCTTCTGGGATCTTCAGGGTGATACATGGATGGGATTTGAGGTGGTCCATGTCTAGCTTCCCAATACCCCAGTTTGACTGATCTACAGGTGTTCCATCAAACCACCTTATAGTTTCATCTGTAGAAAAATTGTTGACTATTATACCTTAAGGTACATAGTTATCAAACTAACTAAGACTGGAAGAAACTATAAAACCTAAATTCAACAAGACTCCTACCCAGGGAGTATATTCACGAATGAACTCAACATCAAAAGCTTGTTATTAATAAAATTTTCATGTAAGCAGTCCTCTATTTTAGCTATAGTGTTTTGGATACCCTGTTCATTGACATAACAGTTTGAATTTTAAATATTCTATATAATTTCTAACCAATTTAAAGAAATCATTTAAATCAAAGAGTCATTTGGAAGTCTATGTAGTTACAAAATGGCTCAATTTGTAGTAATTGTCTCTAAATGTTAGCCATTCATGTATCACAAGAGAAGGGGTGGTAGAAAGTTTATCCTGTGTATAGGTAATAATGTGTGTGTGTGCGCGCGCGTGTGCATGCATGTGTGCACACACGTGCATTCTGTAAAGGATTTAACAAAATAAACTGATATTCAGTCTGCTTTTAATTATCACCACCTTTAGAAATTCTAAACATTATCAGTGATTAAAATACTTCTCACAAGGATGAGCTCACCACCTACCTTGGTAGACCAAGATAACAAGCTCTCCATGCCAAATTAAAATAATTTTCTTTACAAGTACCTTTCAATAACTGTCAATTACATAAAAGAATACCAGGCTTCCATTTTAGTACAAACTCTGGTTTTGAAGAGCAGCAAGTAAGAATTCTAATAGCACAATTGATGACTGAAACATTTCTGTAACTCTGTAGTACTTTTTTACCCTTTAGGAACATGGGCTGCTTTCAAGTCAACGTGGATTTGGTATGTAACAACTAAGTTTGTGAACAGAATTCCAGCCAACCATTCTTCACAGTAAATAAAAAGGTAAACTTGTTTGTTTTTATGCCTTGGTATTATGGGATTATTTCAAAGGATAAGAGAGTATAGAAGAGCATAACAAGGTTGTTTTGGGGGAAAAATGGCTTTGTGTTTCACGCTATTTTTCACAGCAAATGTGTCCAAAGAGAGTTTTCTGGCTCACACATGCTATTATCATTAGCCTTAACAACTGTGTATTTATTTATGCCCTGTCCTCTCCTCTCCCCAAATCACTTACTGTTACTGTCAAATTGAGCATTCAACCAAACCATCTGGACAGAAGAACCAAAAGCAAAAAGCTCTTTCAGAAGAAATGAGATTTCAGCCTCATCCTTGATTGTTAGAAGGTTAGATCCTATAGAAGAGACAAGTAGACATGAGCAAGTATTGGTATTTTCACATAAATATAATTTAACCAAATTTCCTATACCATTACTTGGGAAGGTTTTGACATCTAAACATTTCTGTCATGTAATACTTTATTTTTGTGGTGTTATGGATTGAACCTAAGACCTTACATATCCTAGGCAAATGTAACCACTAAGCTATACCCTCAGACCCCAAATTTATTTTTTCTTCCTTTCTTTCTTTCTTTCTTTCTTTCTTTCTTTCTTTCTTTCTTTCTTTCTTTCTTTCTTTCTTTCTTCCTTCCTTCCTC